CTTTACTGTTTGTTTTTGCCCATTGTATCATAGTTCTGCTGATATTTTATTGTTTATTGGTGAACATATCTTCATGATGCAAAATTTTGTTTTGGTTATTTTTTTTTTTTTAAATTCCTCGATCTGAACAAATTGATGTTTTTCTTCATTCCCCACTAAGAAATATTCCTAATAAAATAACAAAAAAAAGTACCTTTGTCACTTGCGTATTTGTTTTATAATTGTGTTACTGTGATTAGGTGCCATATGAAGTGGTGCTCTTCATGTGAGCGTAGAGGTTGCATTCAGACAGCTGGTCGGGCATCTGTGGCTTATCGTCTGGCATCAAGTGTTTGACGGGTGGTTTAATTTGTGTGATAGAGCTGACTTTCGCACAACAGCTTCATGCTGAACATCGATCTGCAAATCGGTACATTTGTACATTTTTGGACTGCTGACGAGCACCCCAGCTCTGAGCTGTGTGTGTATGACAATCCGGTTCATCACAGATTTTGGAACCTATCATTCATGCTGTTTTACAATGTGGTTCTGGTACATTCATCTCTTTTCTATGTGACAACTAAAAAATGCCTGCCAATTCATTATGGTCACTGAAGAACACACACCTGGAACTTGACTGCAAGTGGAAATACTTTATATATGATAATGCCACTGGAGAGCTTTTAAATTGCTAGTGACACTAAACTCAGGAGGTCAACCTTAAAAATACAAGTTCCGAAACTATTAACATGTGTCATTTGTGTATCACTCGGCTGTACATCCTCAAATCATCTCTGAATTGGTGCTGACACTGTCCTTCCTTCTGGAGGGGGGCTACTTTTGTTCCTCATGGTCCCTGTGTGTGTTGTAAAGTAGCCACCGCTCCAAGCTCGCTCCTGTGATGGACTAGAATCTCAATACAAATTAGTAAACTAAACGTGAGATTGGAGCGGCGGCTACTTTACAACACACACAGGGACCATGGGGAACAAATGTAGCCCCCTCCAGGAAGGACGGTGTCAGCACCAATTCAGAGATGATTGGAGGATCTGCAGCCGAGTGATACACAAATAAGATACATTTTTGTTAATAGTTGAGGTACTTGATGCATTTATAAGATTAAACTCCTGAGTTTTTAGTGTTTCTTTAAAATGTATGGGTCAGCCACAGATATTCTTGTCTTTGAAACCAAAAAGTTCTGTTCCTGATTGTAACAATAAGGGTAATTCTTGCGCTCATTATTCAAAGATCATTGGATGTGCTAATATAACAATTACTGTTTGAACTGTTTTCATACATTGGGGTTTGTATTTAGAATGCAGATTTTGGCTGCCTGCTATTACCTTTTTTTATTATCCAGGAAAACCTTCTGTGAGCCTGTGTATTAAAAAAAAAGAAAATACACCACACACCCACAGGACTCCCCCATGTATTGGACGCCCCCCACTTTTCTTACCCAAAATTCAGAAATCATATTTTCCATGCTCTTTTGCATGATTACATCCAGTTTAAATTTTGCAGCGTAAGACAGATGCTTCCTGGTAATGACCAGGATTTTTTTTGTTTTCTGACATTTTGTGGGTTTAGAATGCTCCGACATTTAGCGCACCGTTACATCTGGGCACTGGCTACAGGCTCTCCGCAGCATCAGCTGATGGGTACATAAGGCTCATGATTGGAGGAAACCTGTTAGCCTGTCTCTGCAATCTGAAGTTTCACTCGTGAGGCTAGTTTCGCAACCGCGGTTCTCCTCTCGACCCCCTGCGTATAAGACGCCCCTCCATTTTTAGGTAAATATTTTTATGGAAAAATAGTGTTTTTAGATATATAATATTACTGGTGCTGGACTTTTCTTCATACCTAAGCCTGACTAACGGAACTGGCCAGTGTTTCTCACCCTGTATCTAGTCCCATTTTTAAAAGTATGCAAAATCTTGAGGCACCCCGGTCTACAATGTCATAGATTTTAAGAACCCCATGCAAAAACACATACAAATGAATTTCCCCCTTCACATTCAAGTGCCCCCTTCACATTAACATTCCCTTCATATCAGAATGGCCCTTTGCATCAGATATCGGAGACCCTGCTTTACTTCAGGAGCCCCCTTCACATCACAGTCCCACTACCACAAAATTTTGAGGCACGCCTGAGGAAGTCCGAAGGCACATCACGGTGTCTGCATCCTGGTTGATCGAGGCTGTTTCAGACCATTGGACAGGGGCAGCCAGTTGGAGCTTAGCCTTGACATTTGCATATCAACCACCCCCTGACCACATAGTGAAATGAAGGTGCGCAATAGACGGCAATATTGCAAGCTGCTCTTTGTTCTACTTGACAGTATGGGGCCTGCGCTGTTGCCATGTAGTTTCTTGACTTAATACAACTGGAAGAGCTCTGTGGATGAAGGTCGGCCAGTTAAGTGACTTTGACCCGTCATGCTTTCTTTCAGGTTTTCTCTGCTCCCTGTTGCCACTTTTTTTTTTTGTGCTCTGCTGTTTGTTTTTTTAGTAGCAGTATGACCAGGGTACAGCCATACCACTACTTAATCCCTAAATTAAACTGGTAAAAATTAGACATTCCATCAAAAAGGAAATAAGACATCATGTGTCTATTCTTAGGGCTTTTTATTTAAGTATGCAGTACATGGGCAAAATTAAACGTTGACTTCTGACGCATTTTATCAATGGCATAAACACATCAGTTTTTAATGGAGTCCCCCTCTAACTGATTTACTATGTTCATTCTGCCATTAGATCCGTTAGTTTTCCACTTCCTGAAACTATCCAGCAAAAGTGGCACTTATAAGTTTTAAAGTAGCGGAAGTTTGGGCTTTTAGTGGAGCTACACTTAGAAAACGGTGAGCTGCATGCAGTGTTAATCAAACCTGGCATATGATAGTCTGTCACTAGAATTCTGTCCATAGTTCAGAGAGCGAACTGGTGTTACTGCATTTTTGTTTTTATTAAGAACACTCCAGTGAAACATAAAAATGCTTTTATTTAAGGTAGGGAGGCACTGATACCAGTAGTAGTATCGATGCTGAGTATTTGTGCGAGTACTTGTATACTCACAAATGCTCTAATATTTACCCCCCAATACCGGAACTTCCAGTCAGGGGGATCTCCTCTGACTGGCAGTGCCGCAAGGCAACATGGAGCCGGCTTCCCAGCCAATCAGGAAGCCGGGTGGTGGGTAATGACTTTCTGTAAGGCTTCCTGATTGGCCGGGAAGCCGCCTCTATGCTATAGGAAGTATCTGTATTGGTACTCTGTGTTGGCGAGTACCGAAAGATAAATATCGATGCTCCTAACCGAAAAACCGATATCAGTGCTTCCCTAATTTAAAGTGAACTTGGCTTTTAAAGTACCTGAGGCTGTGCTTAGGGCCTTGATAGGTCCAATTGCAGGGAGGAGTGTACGAAACACAAGTTCTGAAGTAGAAACTTCCTAAAGCGAAAAAAAATAAATAAATCTTGGATGGTCTGTTGATGGATGAAAACCGATTCTAGGCAGAACACAAAGAAGCATGCTATTCCACCACGGCTCAGGAAAGGAATGAGCCCGGTGCTTGCCACTGGGAGCATGTCCTCTCTTCAATATGAGCCCAAAGGAACAGAAGGGCTGTCCACACACCGGATTCTGCTGGGGATAGTTTATTGAAGCTTGTACCATATCACTGGTATCCTGCCTCCGCTGATGTGTTTCATCCATTCACAGGCTTAGTCAGAGAGCGTCAGCAGGACACCAGTGATATGGTACAAGCTTCAATAAACTATCCCAGTAGAATTCCAGTGTCTGCGGCCAGCTTTTCTTCTGTTTGTATGGACCAGTTATAGGCCTGTTTTTTTTTCTTTTTCTCTCCATTAATATAGGTGGGATTTTAAAGCACACAGTGGCACAGTATAAATGGTCTAGAGCCACTTTTTAATAGGAAAGTATCAATATGTTAGGCTATACTGATTTATAAATTGCTCCCTTGGGGGAAAGGGAGAGGAGGAGAGGGAAACTCAATGAATAATGCCCTTCGTGTACTGAAGTCAAATATACATCACAGAAAAGTCTGGACTATAAAGGTGCATCACGAGTAGCCATACGTTTCCCCCATCTCGACATCTGAGAAAGGCAACGTCAGAGGCTTCTGCAAAAAACTATTTTGTAATATATGCCCTTTATGGCTCATCGATATCAGTTGAGTTGTGTGTTACTTTATACACACATCAGGTAGCAAATATTTGAAATCAGTAATTACTGATGGTCTCCTTGATGCAGCAATTCATTGTCAGTAACCAGAAATATTTCAGCTGTACTCCCAATGGTACTAGACCTTCAAATTCTAGGTAGGTGCCCAAAGTGATGGCATCCAACCCCTGTATATGCCAATTTTACATATGTGAGCACCCTGAATCATGTTTCTTGGATTGTCCCTTTAAGATGGCAACAATCTGCCGCACGTTCATGAGTGTTCCCAGTTCTTGTGGGCTTAGAAACACTTCCACTCTGTTATGGGGATGTTCTGTAGTCCTAACATTTCCTGCCCTAGGCTGGCAACACTGCACAGTGCTAACAATGTATTGAGCAACCACATCTAAAAAAACACTAAGCTGCAATATTACCTTTTTGTTTTTTTAAAAAGTTCTAGTACTTTTTTGGAAAGTCTTCCCACTTTCTGCATAAGACCAATGGGAAGAAGAAAACATTCCCAGTTGGGACATGGACAACTTTAGAGCAGGTGTAAGAACCTTCCGCACTGCAGCTGTGATGAAACTACACCTCCAACCATCTTTTACCTCTTGGCATCATGCCTGTGGCAGTCAGGCTTGCAATGCCTTATGAGACTTTGTAGTTCCAAGGTTGCCTACCCCTGTCTTAGAGGGTCAAACCCTTACCCTTTTGTCTAAAACTATGTTTTGGCTGGCATCCCACATACCTAACACCATTGCTTCTGCAGCGTGGTCCTGTGACGGTAGAAAGCGTACAATGTGGAAGAAAGAAAAAGAAACGAGCTGTGCTGAAGATGTTTTACAATAGTTAATGCAACATAAAAATATTCTATGTTATCTCCATGTATTAGGTTAGCCTACTTCCATTTTACATCACATACAAGTGCTATGTGATCAGAGGGGTGCGAAACACTGGGCAAGGCCTGGTGGCTGGTGACTTCTTCATGACTTGGCATTGGGATTACTTGTTCCACTTCTAAACTGTCCGAGTCAATAAATATATAATCTAGACAGCCGTGAAAGCCCCCGACGTAATTGGTGTAGGCGGGCTCCCCGCAAGCACTCTTCAGTTTTAGGGGGTGGCTAAGAGACATGTTGCAGCGTTCCTCCTCCCCATTGGACGTCCAATCAGGGTGCTCCTCTGAGATGGCCCCATCTTTCACAAAGCTGCACATACCCGTAGAGGGCGTGCTATTAAAATCTCCACAGAATATAATAGGAATGCCAGGGTAAAGTTCGTAGGCTACATGTCTAACATGGGCTAGAGCCACAGCCATTTGGATCAGACGAATGTTGCCTCCTGGAAGGGGGGAAAAGAAAATATATAAAATGTTACAGATGTACTTTTAAAAGATTACAGAAGTTATTACTACACAGGCCACTCTGTTATTGAATGTTACAAATGATCTTACAGCAACACTGTGACAACCGTCCAAAAGGACATTTCTCTCACATTGGAAAGATATTCTCTCACTTCCTGTTGAGTTTACTCGATGGGAAGTGAAGGGATATCTCTTGATCTGGACACAGATGATAAAAGAAACTGACAGCGTTTTTAACTCTTTCTTACTCTATCCCAAAAAAGGGAGATTGGCTTTCGTAATAATTTAAGACTCTGCGACGAGGGATGCCCCGGCATGCAAAGGCTGCTCAAAAACACAGGAATCCAAGCCCTGCTCCTCCAAGGGAATTGATTGGCCGCAGCTCCTGAAACAGCATTGGCCACTCATCATTTGCAATGAACACATCAAACAAAAGCCATTGAAAAAGGTCAACACAGCTGACCTTTCAAATAGTTTCCCCAAATTCAACTGAAAAATGCAACTTTTAATGACTTCTGCAGTCTCAGATTATTCAACCCCTTCATGGCAAGCATCTTTAGTACATAGTAGAGCACCTTTTGCTGTTATGACTTGCTGCAATTAAGATTCATAGCCAGACCCCAGCTTCTGGCAGTGTTCCTGAGGAATCTTATCCCATTCCTCATGAGCGATGGTTTCCAGTTCCAATATTCTTGGGTTTGTGTGCTGCAACCGGCTTCTCCGAATCCCACCAGAGATTTTTAATTGGGTTTAAGTCATATGACTGTGATGGCCAATGCAGAATCTTCCAGGACTTCTCCCGCAGCCAAGCCTTGGTGGAATTCGAGGTATGCTTGGGATTGTTGTCCTGTTGGAAGGTGACACCCAAGCTCCAGCTTCCTCGCAGACGGCATGACGTTTTCTCCTAGGATTCCCTGATACTTCAATGAATCCATCTTGCCTTCCACACGCTGCAGGTTTCCAGTGCCAGAGGATGCAAAGCAGCCCCAGAGCATCAGGGGGCCAACACCATCCTTAACTGTAGGCAGAGTGTTCTTTCCAGCGTATGCTTCATTCTTCTTCCTTCAGACATTCCGCTGATCCATAGGGCCCGAAAAGTTCCAGTTTTGCCTCATCACTTCACAGATTAGAATCCCAAAACTTCCATAGATTATTTATGATACTGAGCATATTGGAGCTGACTTTTCTTGTGATTTTGGGTCAGTGGTGGTGTACGTCTTGGAGTTCTGCCATAGAGACCCTCTGTGTTTAGCACGAGCCTTACTGTGCATACTGAAACCTCAGTGCCTGTTGCCACCAAGTCTTGCTGCGGGCCTTTTGCAGTCACTTCTCAGAAGTCTGGCTGCAGCCCCTGACAGCTTCCTTTTTCTGCCCTGTCAAATCGTGTAACCACTGTTCCTTTAACTTTGAATTGCAAACTACGCTTCCAACGTTGGAACATTCAGTGCCTTCGTTATCTTTTTGTATCCTGTTCCTTGTTTGTAAAGGGCGATGATCTCTTCTCTTAACTTTTTTGATCATTCTTTTGACTTAGCCATATTTCTAACACGCAGTCAACTGTGATACTCAACAAACCCCTAGCAGCCAGTTCAGGTATTTCATGTGTTCTAGCTCAAGGGCACCTGGTGCAACTAATGAAGCCCTCGATTAGTTGCATCACAAGTGATTGAGACGAGACCTGTTTTGCAGCGGTTACATAGTATTTGAGTTTGAAGACAAAAGGTCCAGCAAGTTCAACATTTGTGCGTGTGTATACACATACACACACTCAGTAGCCAGATTATTATGACCACCCCATCAGTACTTCATTGGGCCATACACATACATAAAGTCTCTGTGTGTGCTTTTGTGAGGGATTCTATTCAGGGGTTTGTACAATTCTGAGACTGCAGAAGTCATTAAAAGTTGCATTTTTGAGTAGGGATGCACCGCTATATCAGAGACCGATACATATCGGCCGAAAATAGCTCTCTACTGGGAAATAGCGAAAAAAATGTTTTGCCGATAATGACCCACCTCCCCTGCACACCCACAGTGCAAGCTTCAAACACTGCCCACCAATCTGAAGCCCCCGCCACCTGCTGTGACTCTGCCCAAGCCCCACTCAGACTGACCTGAATCCTCCTTTCTGCAGGAATAGCAATATTAATGGATGACCACATTGAAACTGAGGGAGGGAGTGGGGGTTAGTTGGTTGCTGTGCTTACATTCAGCTCCCGGCGGCATAATACTCCGCTTCCCCGTATACCATTTAACGGAGGTAAGATTGTATTGCAGTGACTTCAAAATGCAATAGCCAGTCGCAGCTTGGCTATTGGACCCGCCCACTGCCTGCTGTCAATCAGCAGAGGAGCTGATCTGAAGGAGTAAGGCCTGGTTCACACCTATACGTTTTGTAGCGCGTTCAACGCTCTACGAACGCTCTACAAAACGCTCAAACATGAAAATCCCATTGTTTTCTATGGGTATGGTTCACACCTTGCCGTATTTAAGGACGTCTGAACGCGCTACAAAACGGCCTACACCTGAAAAGGTACATGAGCTTCTTTGGGGCACTTTTCCATTGGGATACAGCCAAGTAGCCCTCGGAAACACGCGTTTTTTTACCGCGAATCGCGGTAAAAATGCTTGTCACGAAACGTGCGACAAACGCGCATATTCAATACGCCTAGGTGTGAACAGAGCCCTAAGTTCTCGTTCAGGTCCGCTCCTCTGCTGACTGACAGCAGACAGGAGTCCAATAGCCAACCGGCGATTGGCTATTGCATTTTGAAATAGCCAATAGCAGGTTTGCTATTGTTTTCAGTCATTGCAGTACAATCTTACCTCCGTTAAATAGTAGAGGGGGAAGCGAAGCGGCCAGCGGGAGATGGTGAGGTGTGATTGGGGTGGTGACAGCTGTCAGGATGGAGAGTGGTACAAGCAGTCAGTGATCACTGAGTGTTTGTAGATAATTGAGAACAGAGTATGTTTACTGTGTCCCCAATTATGATTGAATGCGAAGTGTTCATCACCTCCTGTTCATTCATAGTTGTAGTTATAGTAAACATACTCTGTCCTATGAATGAATGGGAACACTGAGTATAGAGGATTCCTGTTTATTTATAACAGAGTCTGCAGAAAAAGAGATTGAGGACTTTGTGTTCTTGATCTCTTTTTCTATTTTAAAAGGGAATATCAGGGGTCTGTTTAGACCCCCAATATTTCCCCAAAGCCCCTTCACCTTCTAGTTTGGCACCCGTTATTTCTGTACACTCAGGCTAGGTTCACACCTAGGCGATTCAGATGCCGAGCTGTTTTCTTGCGTTTCCGATCGCACGACTGTTCATTGTAAACCGCAGGATTGTCATACGTTTGTCAATGGATAGAGATGTCTATGGGACCACACGTCAACTGCCCGAAAATAGCTCCTGCACCTTTTCACGCGACAAACGCAGGTGTGAACAGCCTCCATTGACTTCAAATTTTCTTAGACCAGCACTCGGAAATACCACGTTGTCCATAGCAGCCATATTCTGTTGTGTGCTTCTATAATACTTCTATAATACTTGTAGGGCGCCTGCGTCCCCCCCACTGCTTCCACCCACAGGCCTTTACTCCACTATAACTCTGTGGAAACTCTGTAGTGATAAAGCAATCACAGCACGCAGAGGGGGGGG